AGCTCACGATATGGTGGGGAGGCTCATGATTAGGAATGTAAGAATATCCAAATTTCTTACGATATTTACTCAATATTTTCACGATATACATCTCATGGTACGATATTTATTGCAATATTTTGTGGAGTCTAACAAAACTCTGAACATGCTACTTTTTCCTCTTAAAATGCCTTGACAAGACTTAATCCAAAGAACTAAAACTTAAAAGTGCTTAGAACTGTAATTTCTTCATGTAGTTTACACTGAAATGGAGCAAAGGATCATGGTCTATGTAGTTCCCTCTGTCTTTTTTTTTAAGCATTTACTGCACCATAACTCTTAATTTAAGCAAAGAGACTTGTAATTCGAGAGATTGTGATGGTTCACGATATTATTGTGAGAACTTTGATGAGACAATATCACGATATTTTGGTTATTGTTACATCCCTAGAGCTATACAGGTGATATCAGTCCGCCGCTGCTGAGCTTTCTATCAGGAAGTACGAAGAACTCACTGCTGCTGCTTAGACATAAATCCTTCAAATGCAAGGTTGGTTTTACTTCTAAAATTATTCTATCGACACAAACATTCACATCGACAGTCTGGCGTAATAATAGATTTACTTCAGGTGTTTTGTGGAGTGGGTAAGACTGTTTTTAGTGGCAGGATAACTATGACCATTGACATGCACTAACCTAGCACCAGAGACCTCTGCAAACACAAGGAGTGGATGGAATATTTTAAAGTGTCCCCACACATCTCCAACACTCTGGATAACTAAGAAATGAGGCCCTATGTCCAAAATTCCAGATTGTCCCTTTAAAAAATTGGGTACAGTTCCTTAAACATGCATAAAGCTACTGATATAACATGGCAGAGAAACCAAAGGATGCAAAGATAATTTATCTGCTTCCGCATTTCCTGACAACAAACACCATACAACATACATATGCGTGTAAACCTTTAATCAATACCAAACACAGTGAATCGGACGCTATACAATATAATGACTCCCGTATGGCGGATTGAGCCTACAGTATTCTCTTTTGTACTATTTGTTTTGTCGAAAGAGGCCAGCCATGACAGTGCCGTGTTTAGGATAATGAAAGTCAGTAACTGTGAATCTCTTGGAACTGCTTCACACACCAGAGAGAGGGGAAAGGAGCAGACTTAAGAGATAGGCCTTTCCCGTAAGGAAGCACCAATAACCCCCCAAGGGCGCTCTTTTATCCCCTTGTCCCATGTCCAAGTCTACTCTCCGGACTGACCACAGCCACCAAAAATATTCAGTTATTTGCAGAGGCCGTTGAACAACAAACAAGAGCTCACAAAGCCTTTAGCACAGTGTTAATATCCACAAGCATTCGTTTTTGTGTGCGTGTGTGGCTTTGGAACGCATTTTTCAGAGGGCAAAGTGTAACAGGGTGGATCACAGTGCTGCTTTTGCTGCTTTCTTTGGGAGTGTTGAGAGATAAAAATACTTTATTATTTACTACAGACAGTCCATAACATCTAATTTGGTTACAAAGCGGTGCCTTTACAATATACTCTTTACGGGAAACAAAAAACATACTCATTTACAGAACCGCAGCTTTAAGGTACAAGTTGAAATGCACTTTGAGAGCGTGAGAAATATAACAGGGCATTTCAAAGTCACAGGCACCACCCAGGGATGACTGACAGTGATGGATAGAACAAAACACATGCTTTGGGAGCATATGGGCACAGGGTGTGTTTGAAGTTTAAAGAAAAGTTTAAAAAGGCTTGAGTAAAATCCTGCTAGTGCATCCAAAGCAAAACTCTTACCCTCTCCAGTCTGCATCAGTGTGCTGACATGTTTTCAGTCCATGTGACTAGATTTTGTGAATTTCTAGTTCTATTTCTCAAACATTTGGAACTGGAGACATTTATGACTATATTTCAGCTGACTGCCTGGAGCTCTTATTTGTTTGCTGAGGCATATTTGTCAGAAGTGAGCGTGAATGAAATCATGTGTTTTGAGATAACCTTATTAAGCTTGCAGACGCTTTGCCCTCTCACTGTTTTGCTGCAGAAGGACTCTGGTCATAGTGACCCACACATGTTATTTATGTTGTCCAGCAGAAGTGATGGATTCTGGGAGACAGGCATGCACACAAAGGGTCAAAGTCTGTTTAGCAAGCGGTGGCTAAAGTCCGGTCATGAACGTTAAACACCAGCTGACCTGAAAACGTCATGTTACCATAAAACACGGCCGTTAGGAGAGGTGCTGGCTTTAAGTGCTGGCACGGTGGGGTACATCATAAACCCGAGGTCAGACTCAACTAAGGTTAAAGAACTAGGAATCAGTGAGTGCTTTGAGGTGGATAAAACTTTATATGCTGGCAAGTTCACAGAATCAATCTTTGTAATCCACAAAGACAAGTGGATAAGAAGTCATTAAATGCTGAGCCAAAATGTAGAAGAGTGAAAAGTGCTTTGAAAATTATAATACACGAGGATGGAAATGGAGCACTTCTAAAAGCTAATGGCTATTTGAAAGTGTCAAACTGTGAGCTGGAGGAGTTGTAAAACCTGAGTCACACTGGGTGTGAAGGTAAGAGAACTGTGTCCTGAACAGAACATGATAAGAGGCATTAACACATGTTGGCATTTTCAAAAACCTTCTCTTCTTCAGTAGGGAGCAGCAGATTTGTTTTTATTTGTAGGGAATGATTACGCAACTGTTTAAGAAAACTGAAAAAAAAAACAACTGGAGAACGAAGTATAGAGCAGTGGGCGTATGCTGGTGGTGGTGAAAATGAGAATTGATCGGCATTATGACCTCTTGAAAAAACTATTCAAGATTGCTCAAAGTTTTACAAATCACTCCAAATAAAACTTCAGGTGAGTAAATGGTGAGGTGTAAAACTATAACATGGTTAAAAGCTCAAAAAAGTAAATCTTGCATAATAGGTCTGCATTAAACAATGGCTACTTTCAGTTTCAAGCTTTCAATATTTACCTTGTATGCATTATTTTGATGAAAAAAAAAAAAAAAACTTGGTCAAGTGTGTAAGAGAATGATCTTAAATGAGTACAGTGGTATCAAACTACACTGAACTGATTATGTTTTGATTCCGACAAAACAGCCAGAATCCATGTAAGATGGAGTATATATTATTATATATTTTATTATTTGGACCCGTCTTATCTTGGCTCTGGACCAGATGTTTCCTTGTTCGTGTCCAGAATATTGTGTCCATGGCGTGCTTTGTCTGACATGGGCTGTAGCTCCAGGTGCTGTGAAGGCCGTGGATTTAAATGCTCTGACGCAGCATGGGGTCTCTAAAAACAGTCTGCTGGATTTATTACATACACATACATACACCCACATACCCCTGTCCCGCTACTGCCCCCCCCTCTCCCCTTTAGCCCGGGACCCCTCAGAGCATGTCTCTATTTCACGGGACCAGTCCTTGTTTTCATTGCAAACCCAGAGGCCTCTTCCTCTCCAGCAATGACCTCCGCGACTCTCTTGTGTTTTTGTTTTGTATGGATATACGGTGCTCAGTCCACAAGGCTCAGCTTTCAGGCCCTGGGTTACGGTATTAGTCTGGGAAGGTATTTTATTCAAGTTTCCATGGATTAGGGGTGCTTTGATGCAGAGTACAGAGATCATGGACGAGAATTAAAAGCCTTGTGAATTCGGATTAAAATATTCTATACCACTGATGAGTTAAAAAGTACGATTTTCACCTTCTTGGTGACCAGATAGGAAACCTTTTCTATCAGTTTTTATAAGAAGTCATCCGGACAATCTTTTTGAAATTAGAAATATTCTCGAATCCCTATAGTTGCAAAATGATCTTGGCTTCAGGTCAAAATTATAAAAGAGTTTGCTCTTTAACTGTCAGATTGCAGATTTTTTGACCTAATTTATGGTTAATTTCACATATTAGATTAGGGCTGGGTGTCATTAAGAAGTTGGTGATACGATACATACCTCGATACATAGGCCATGATACGATACATACCTCGATACGTAGGCCACGATACAATGCATATATTAGATATCCACATGAAACAAAAACTGAACCAAAGTTTGACATCTTTTCAGTCACCACAAACAGAAGAGAGCTGTATTCAACCCTCAAAATGTGATCATTTCCTGTTTATAAGGTTTTGAGACATAGGATTAATATGGTAAATTCGTGGATCCAATCTCTAACAAAATGGGTTAGTGTACTGTGAATCTCCTGTAAATGCTCTCTGGCTGAAATTATGTAATTCTAGGAAATGAACGCATGAAAGTAAAGTTGTAAAATTACAGGGTCAATGGAATAAATATCTCAATGTATTTATAGCATTGATATTTTGCACAATTTTGATAATTTCTTCTACTTCTAAACCTAAAAGAAAATATCTTACTGAAGTGCTGTCCTCTTTTAGCTTCTTCAGTAGTTTAATATTTTTTTTCCTCATTGTATAAAAAGCACATGTTCAAGCGGAGCCCAAAGCCAGTGGGCATTCTACTGTAATGTCATTGTGGATTATACATGCAACAGATCTCTGTACTTTAAACAGCATGACTAGCAATGGACCCTCGTGACTGAATTTATTAAGATTTCATCAGGTCATCTTTGATTGTCGTAGTTGCCTTCAGGTGAGAGTTCTAGGTTTGCTGACAACAAACTTTTGCAGCTCCTTCCTATCCACTCTACAATGCTGTTTTGTGTGTGCTGGTGAATGGCAGTGTCCCAAATATGTCCCTGGAATTGGGATTATGAAAACCATATGACATGCTCAGCTCTCTCAAGAAAGAATCGCACAGTCCGTTTCACCTCCCCCCATCCTGACACATACTACATCTACTACCCCCTCTCGAAAAAACATACACTTTGCATCCTTCTTTTTCTCTCTCTCTCTTTCTCTGTCTCTCTCCATTTGCCCACTCTCTTTTTGGCGATCCCCCTCCTCTCTCTCCTCTCTCTCCTCTTTCTCCTCCCCGTTTGCCCTGGGACGGTCTGCATGCACTCAACTTCGGCACAGAGCAGTTTGAAAGGCTAGAGTCAGGAGCAGAGACAGGCACACAAAAAGTGTTCCAATGAAGAGGGAAAAGTTGAGATAGGGATTACAGCAGGCCGAGATAAGAGGCCTCGACTTGCAAGAGTGCTATCAAGCTTGGGGAAAGTGCAAAGGGCCGGCACGATAGCATCTGTCTACTGAAGAGAATGGGCCTCCTGGTGAGCAGTGCTGGAGTCTATTTTATCCTATGCCTTTGGAGCTTTCTTTTTGGACTTTCTTCAGTCTTCTGCCAGGATCTGAGAGAACGGGATGCTCTGTGCAACGCTGAAGGCTGTTATGTGGTCTACTTCCAGCGCAAAACTTTTCTAGACTCATGGAGGGCTTGCAAAGAAAACGGGGGCAACCTGGCTACAATCAAACGCAGCAAGGAAGCCAAGACCATTGCCTCTTTGTTTTCTACTGTGGATTTAAGGTACTCGAGAACCAAGGTGCAGGTGTGGATAGGCCTTCAACGCCAGCCGAGGCAATGCACCGCCGCACGTCCACTTCGGGGGTACTCCTGGACGACAGGTGACCAGGATACGGAGTACACCAACTGGTTAAAGGATGACTCTCCTACTATGTGCTCGGTGCCACGCTGTGTTGCCATGGCATACAGCACAACGGATCCAACCAACAACTTCAAGTGGATAGATGGTTCTTGCTCAGTTCCTGTTGAAGCTTATCTCTGCTACTATGCCTACCAGCAAATGTGTGACGCCCTGCCAAGTGAAGGGGCGGGCAGCGTCAATTACAACACGCCATTTCACCTTTTAAGCACTATTCTGACACATGTCCCCTTTGGTTCCGTGGCTACCGTACCTTGTTCCGATGAAAAGGAAGAGACGGTTTTGTGCATGCTCCAAGATAACGGTTCGGCAGGTTGGTCCAGAAACTCGCCAATTTGTCTCGATGTGCCTCTTCAATACAACTGGTGCGAGGATGAAAATGGCGGGTGCGAGCATATTTGTAAACAGACAGAGGACCATTATGTTTGTGAATGCGATGGCGGTTATGTACTGGGACAAGATAAGCATAGTTGCGATCAGGTTGATGTATGCCAATTAGCACCATGCGAGCACGAGTGCCTACCTCTGTCCGACGGGTTCCGCTGCGCCTGTCCCGAGGGCTACATGCTGGCTCCGAACGAGCACGGATGTGTGGACGTGGACGAGTGCCTGCAGAGTCCGTGTGAGCAGGTCTGCGTCAACGCCCCTGGTACTTTTCAGTGCACCTGTCGCGAGGGATACCAACCGGGCGAGGACAGCGAGTGCGATGACGTGGATGAATGCGCTGGTGACCCATGTGAGCACGCCTGTGAGAACACTCCAGGCTCTCATATCTGCCACTGCCATCTGGGCTACTCCCCGCTACCGGAGAACCCCAGCCATTGCCAGGACATCGACGAATGCCAGATTGCCGGGACTTGCGAGCAGATGTGCGTCAACTACGAAGGTGGATTTGAATGCTATTGTGAGGAGGGGTACGAGCTTCTGAATGATTTGTATTCCTGTCGAAAGGTTACCAAAATAGATGACCAATATGCTGCTAAACCTTTTCCCTGGGCCACACACCAACCACGTCCAACTGAAGACTATGAACTAGATGACGACTATGATGACTATACAATACAGGCTCACACTAATTGGCCTGCTGAGGTGGACCAGTCTCTAAATTTGCTTACAGATGCACCTAAATTTGAGGATCCTAATATCATTTGGGTCACTGGGTCACCACTAGATCCATTTAATTTTCCAACAGAAGGCACTACTGAGTCAGAAGATATCGATCATTCAGACCCTGACATATGGTTAGAAAGGAAAGAACATGTACAGTCAGAAATCGCCGAAACTGCTATTCCTTCGACATCCCCTTCAACCTTTATCTCTAGCACCATGTCAGACTGGTACGAAGCTGAGGAGGAGACCACTACTCCTCATCCTACATCGTTGTCCACCTCCACAGTCTCTGAAGGTGCTTGGAACTTTTGGAATCTCATTATAACCCCAAACACCAAATCTGTAACCCAGGATCCCTTCATAGACTATAAGGCACCTCCTGACTATGACTATGAAGTACCTATCATCCCTAGAGAGAGAGAACCATACACCATCACCTCTCCTTCCCCAGGGGCAGCAGAGGAAATTGCGGAGGACTACGAGGATATCACAGCATCCTCTAAACCATTTTTTTCCACAAAGTCCAGCCCTCCTCTGGATTCCTCCGGCGTTGGCAAGGGAGTTGACTTGGATTCCGTTCAACCTGACAGGGAGCAGAGCCAGAGCACCACTTGGCTCTTGGTCGGCCTTCTTGTGCCTATCTGCATTTTTGTCCTGGTGATGGTGGTACTGGGCATCGTTTATTGTACACGGTGCGCAGCGCAGTCCCGGAACAACAAGAACACTACGGACTGCTATCACTGGATCTCAGGGGCACATGATAAACAGGGCGCTGCTAACCCTTCAGTAGGGGTCAAGACGCACGTTTAAGGGAGAGTGGCGTTGATATAAACAAACTCTTCAGAAAGATAAATAATGAGCTACCTATGGGACGATTTGCTCATATTTCTTGATGACTTGACAGTGACTGGACACTAAAGACCAGTGATATGGTTGGCTATGTGGAATAAAAGACTGCTTTGAAACTTAATACACTGATCCACGTAGCTAATTGAGTCAAGATTGCACTGGGAAATCCCAAATCTTAAATCACTTGTGTTATTACAGCAAGAACTGAATTGGCTCTATTCACGCTGACGCCACAGAATCGGCAGACATTTGGAAACATGCAAATGACGGCCTTCTTTGGACTTTGCTGGTGACAAAATTTGGGAAAACTGACAAAATGCTTTTCTTTATCTGTATGTCATTGTATTCTTTCTTTTTTCCTTTTATGTATTATAATTTGTCTAACTTAAAAAAATATGTTATTGTAGCATTACGTTATGTTCGACAAATCAATAGTTAAAACCAGATTCCTGTAAGTGACATCGAAGACGCGATTAGAGTCATGTCCCCCATGGAAAGCTTTGGCAGGTTGTGAAAACGCTGCTGCTGAATCTACGGTTTTATCACATGCCCAGTGTCGGTAACTACACCGGTAGTCGTCATCCGCATGTTTCTAAACGTCTTCCGGTAAGCGTGAATAAAGCCTATTATGTTTTCATGTGCCTTCAAAAGTGTTCCAAGCTAGTTCTTTTGCTCACTGAGTGCAACACTGTATATATTTGTTCCCGTCAAAAGGAGCTGGACTACAGTACCTTTAACTTATATTGGAACCCTGAATAAATCTGGTATGTGTAGTTTTACTTTTAGAGACTGTCAGAAACCAAAATTAGCTTAAGCAATTCTCCAGTAGTAATTTATGGCGACATTTGAATCACTGCAATTACAATCAAGATAGACAGATCGTTTTACAGACTGATTTAAAACACACCCAGTTCATGGGTAACTTAATGACTGATGGTGAAAGTTAACACAGCAAACTTTGAAAATTTTGGATAGTCACAGTGGTGCCAACAATGCCTAATTTATTCTGATAATTTCGGTTAATATTCTTAAGAAAATATCATCATTTTAAAGTGTAAATGGTACAGTGTGTAACTGTTGGGGAGTTTGTTACCTGCTTGTTTTTATGGAGATGTTATTGCTTCACCTGGAATGTTACACAGTCTAGCATTAAAATTCATGCATTTTTGTTTCCAATTACAGGTGTTTTTACTGCTAAAAGAAACAATGATATAATGTCAATAGTGTAGCTTTACCGACAAGAGTCCATAAATAGATTAGTTTAAAATCCTACTGTTCAACATCAGCTCAATAACTCAGATGGTACACCCATTAAAAAAGTTGCATTGTACCCTTTTAAGCAATAATTTTACTAGAGTTCTAACCCAGGATGCCACCTTATTGCCTCTGTACATATTCACCAGCGAAGACAGAGCGACCGAGTTGAAAATACTGTGTTGAAAAGACCAAAACGTTGGCCTTTCTCTGTATATAACTGTTTTATATTTATGTTACTTTTGTATGAGCCATTTTTATAAGTAACAACTTAAAGATTTGAGCAATGTGCTTGTGATTTTATAGACCCACATAAATTTGCCCCAAGGAATGTTCGTCTGCTCGTCATAATATTTTCCTCCATGGCTTTGACTGTTAAAGACCTCACAGATGTTCCCACTGAAGCTGTAAGGTCTCATAGTTGACACTCACCTTGCTCATGAGCGATCCCTCCATTGGCAGACCCAGCTAATTTATTAACCCAGCCAGCAGTGCCTTGTCAAATACACCCGCACATGTTTTACAGCTGTGTTGAATCATAGCCATGTGTGTCAGGACTTTTTTTTATTATGGAGTAAAAGCAGGGATTAATATATCGAAAGAGGAAGTGTCTCAAATGGTTTTCCAGAGGTGTTCTCACGGGTGGCCTGGTACACAAGTATAAGGAACAAAACACAAGCACTTACAAAACAAAGCAGGAAATGAATGGGTTTTTCTGAGTGCAAATGGAACAGTGCAGTGCGTGGTGTGTTTATTTAATCCAATGCAAGTGGAGGGTAAAAGACGGTGTGTCCTTGTTGTCTCTTTGTCAGTACTTGTGAAATAAAAGTTTGAAACAAGTTCAAGTGAATATATATTTTTATTCCCATTTCGTATTCAAATTGTATGTTTTATTATAATAAGAGTAGAGCTGTGGAAACACTTTAAAGCTAATAAAGCAGTAAAACATTAACACAAACTAAATAACCTCAACTCTTATCCATTATTAAAGGTCCTGTATTGTGCAAAATTGACTCTTGTGAACTTTAAAGGAAGCAGTCTGGAATTTTGAACATAGGGTCTCATTTTCTCTTGAGTCAGAGTGTTGGAGACGTGTGGAGACATTTTTTAAAATAATCCATCCAGTCCTTGTATTTGCAGAGGTCACTGGGGCTAGGCTAGTGCATGTCAATGGCCAATGTCAATGTTGATAGAATAATTTTATAAGTAAAACCAACCTTGCATTTGAAGGATTTATGTCTGAGCAGCAGCAGTGAGTTGTACTTCCTGATAGAAATTTTGGCAGTGGCGCACTGATATCACCGAGCACCTATCTTACTGGCAAAGTAAAATTCCGCTGCTGCTGAGAAAATAGTCCCTCAACATGTGACGATTCATGCGATGCAAGGTTAGTTTTATTTCAAACATTATTCTATCGACACAGATATTTACATCGACAGTCTGGTATAATAATAGATTTGATTCGGGTGTTTTGTGGAGTGGGTAAGACTGTTTTTAGTGACGGGATAGATAGCACCAGCGACCTCCGCAAATACAAAAACTGAATGGAATATTTTAAAAAGTGTTTCCACACATTTTGAACACTCTGACTCACCTATGTCCAAAATTATGGACTATTCCTTTAAGTCATGTTATAATGCTGTTACCTCCTCAAAAACATACCTGGAGTTGTGTTTTGTTTCATTCACAGATGTTTGAGTAATTTTTTATTATTAGTTCGTCTACATTTCCAAAGCTCAAAATGTTCTGTTGTAATGTTATGGAGTAGTAGCTTTCAATTTGACAGCTCCTTTTACCTTTAGTTCAGTAGAGACAAGCAATTCCAGAGGTAAAATTATCCAAATCATTCTAGTGAAGGTTTATGGAGTTAACCACATGACATCATAAGGTGCAACAGAGTATTTTCTGTTTGAGAGAAGAAGCCTTAACATTTGTGTCTTAAATGTGTGAATGAAACAAAACACAACTCCAGGTCTGTTTGTGATGAGGAAACAACATTATAGAATAGTAATATGGCCCTTTTAACTATTTGCTAAGCTTGAATGATTCTTAATAAACTATTTTCATGCTTTATTAGTTATTATAAGGTGCTACTGTAATTCTTAACCATATATAGCACTGCAGACACATTGTAGTGCATGCTGAATGAGATATTAAGGCTGACTCAGCCTATCAAGTGCTTGATAAAAGCCCTGGATTACTGAGATTGTGAAAACACACTATCCATCAGTGTTAACCTCTTTATAAATGATTGTATTCCATTAAAAAAGAATACTTCTACTGTATAAATCCCACACAAAGAAAATAATGACAACTGATTTGAACTCTGTGAGATCCCCTTGTGGATTGTACAACTACTACTAAAGTGAAAAGTATGTATAGTATGTTTGTATAGTATAGTATAATTGTGTAGGCCCTTGTCATCCCATAGTCCTGCGGAGAACTATTTAATATTGTTATATGTACATCTGGAGTTTAGCTAGTATGGATTTAGTACTTTTAAAGAACTTATATTATGCTATGTTCCTGATCTATGTTATATTGCCTTTTCACAAACAGACCTGGAGTTGTGTTTTGTTTCATTCACACATGTTTAACACACAAATCCTGTATATTTAAGATGAGTTCTTCTTTCAAATAGAAAACATTCTGTTCCACTCTGGTAATATAGTGCTCCACTAAAACTCCCTACAACTTCACTAGAATCATTTTGATGATTTCAGCCCTGGGATTGCCAATGTCTACTGCACTTAAAGGTAAAAGATAGTTGTTACGTTGGAAACTACTGCTTCGTAACATCACAAGGTGGAGCAGAGCCCTAGAATTGAGCAAAAGATAAAAAGGTAGCTGTTAAATTGGAAACTATCTTATCAAACACAGCATTTTGAGCTTCGTAGATGTAGACAGACTTATAATAAATGGTTATTCAAACATCTGGGTATGTTTTAGATTTTAGATGAGATAACAGCATTATAACATGACTGAAAGCCCACACAAATCAGTTTTACATAATATAGGACCATTAAATAACCAAAGATATTCATTTTGATAGCAAAAAAAAAAACTTTTTCACTTCCGAATGAGCATGAAAGAAACAGCATGCCTCGAAGAGGTGTCCAGTGAGTCATGGCATGCGCTGATCAGATCCAGGTCGGGTCTGTGAGGGGGTGCCTCTGTCTTCTCCCAGTCACGCCGGCAGTCTCTTATTGATGATGTCACAACAGCTGATGTATATTACAGCTTTCTGAGGGCAATTATGGTGAGTCAGAACTTGGACGCAGTTACTGTTTTAGAGATGGCTGTAAATAAACCACGTGTGCCAAATACATGTGCTTTATAATTTGATCATTTGTGCAATTATAACATAGTAACGTATAATTATATAGATTTAGTCACCACTGGATCCCTAATTACAATCATTCATAATTTTAATTTCTGCATTTTCATATTACAACTTACAACTGATTCTCACAGTGACTTTTTTTTTCTTATTCTGTTCTCAAGGTAAGTACTGTAGGTATTTATTTATATCATCAATGCAATAGACAAAGAAACATCATTATTTCTTACATAGTGGTACCCTGACCTAAATGTAAGCACAAATACTCCATTGTTTATACAGTATACACAGTACAACACATATAATACATATATCATTTACAGATTTGCACTTCATATTCTAGGTTAGGAATGTTGGTGTTTACACTTATCAGAAAACGTCTTTGCAGCAGTGGGACTGTAACCATAGCAAATACAGTCTCAGGTGTATAAGGCCTTGCTGTGAGATGATTTAGACACAGAACATTTTTCATAGTGAGACACTTAACCCACATTCCCCACTTCACAATAAGACAGACTATTGTAAATGTAAGTGTATCTGATATAAGACAAACATGTTTAGTTTGCTGTGGAAATGCAATGGAATATACTGTTAATGCTTATTGTTTCATTAAAAAGGAAAATATTATAGTGATTAATAAAAAACATTTAATTTGGTTATTTAAAGGGCTCACTTCTCCAACTCCTCTCCTCCAGAAGGCACTTCAGAAGTCTTCAGACTAAAACCAGCAGGTTCAGGAACAGTTTCTTTCCTTACTGAACTCTGTCCCCCACTGAACACCCATGCCCTCTTACCGTGTCACTCACTCGCCCCCTCCCTCTTCATCTCCCGCACGGACACTGAATGTACCCTGTCCAATCCCTCCATCCAAACCCAAACTACATGTATATTTATCGCCAGTGCTGTATATCGCTGCTTATCATACTTACATCTGATCCATAACTTTATATTTATGTGTTTTCAGTGTTCTGTATTTATACTGTTCATATATATCTTTTTGCTTGTTTATATATGTCATACACATTTATATTTTCTATAGCACACACTGTGTATTTGTTCATAGTATATATTGTTAACAGTACATCTGCCTATATCTCCCCCATGTATGTTAAATCTAATTCCCTACTGTTCATACTACCATATTTATTTGTATTTATTCACTACACTCTACACTGTCATATACTGTATATTGTCTACTGTACTACTGCACATTCTGTATTTGTCACACTTACTGCTCCTTGCACTTCTGATTAGATGCTAAACCACATTTTGTTACCTTGTATTTATACATGTGTAATGACAATAAAGTTAAATCTAGTCTAATAATAATCTATTTTCTGATCTATATTATAATATTGTTTTCTGAAACTGAAACAGACCTGGAGTTGTGTTTTTTTTTTTTCATTCACACATGTTTAACACACAAACCCTGCGTATGTAAACTGAGTTCTTCTCTTAAAACACTTAAAACACTCTGTTTGACTTTGTGATGTCATGTGGTAATACCAGAAGTGCTCCAATGTGTTTTTAAACTCCATACACCTTCAGCAGAATCATTCAGATTATTTCAGATCTGGAATTGCCCATTTCTACTGAGCTAAAGGTAAAAGGTAGCTGTTAACTTGAAAACTACTGCTCCAGCGTTTTGTACTGAGGATGCAAACAGCATAATTATAAAGGATTACTTAAACATGTGTGAATGAAACAAAACACAATGCCAAATATTTGTGAAATCTCTCAGTTGTCCAGGTAGGATCCATAGTTCACATGATGGATTAAAGATGAGCTGTGAAACGTATTTGATCCAAAATTTTTGTCCAGTTGACAGAATTTAATTCCTCCTTTGCGATGCCAGGTACGTTTTTGATGAGGCAATAACATTCTAACATGACTAAAAGCTCAAAAGAGTCAATTTTGCGCATATTTGTATATTATTCATTAAATAGCCTGTATCATGTAACACCTTTTATGTACATTTTATCGTATTACTTACAAGTGAATTAGGAATGCTCAGTAATAATAATCTCTTTTGGCCGTGTTTGATTATGTCATATTGTATAACCAAATTACACCATATTAATCCCCTCTATAGAATGGAATTGCCTTCAGTTTGCTCAGTAGATCGTGTCATTCGATCTCATGCCTCATAAACACATTTGTTTGGGTGAAGCATTCATTACCGCTTTGTCACACTGTCTGAAACTTCTGCAGAAAATACATCGCAATTTAAACTTGCCCTCTTTGCCATATTATGTAACCCGATCTTATTTTTCTGCTGTTTTGTGACTAGACTGCGTGTCACTTGTGTATTATGTGTAATGTGGTAGCGTTGTATTGTTTTATTGCGCGCTCCCGGGCTCCTATGACAGTGATTAATATTGTTTACACTGGGTTTGTTTTGTGTCTCCATTATTTATTTATTTATTTTGGGGTTTCCATTTGAAGCTGAGTTAATAAGCACAATGCAGTCTTCAGTTGCAGCGGATTCTGGGTAATGACTTTTTA